GATGTATCAACTAGTGTTGCAACGAATAGTATATATTCGGCCTCAGGCCGAATACTCGGCTTGATTAACGCACGTACGAAAATTGGCGCGCAAACCGCATCATGGCAAGGATCCTGCTCTCTATTGGCCCGCTGTCACTACGCTTCGCCAATCGCGTTAATTCTTGGCAGTTTAGCGGACAGAAAAGTGTGTCATGGAAGAATGTGATAAATGATATCAAATGTGGATAACAATGAAATGACCTACACGTGTAAATAACGGAAAAAGAACAGAGAAGAACCGCGAAGTGAAAAATGTGAAAATAAATATGAAATTGAGTTGATAACATAATCGAACAAGTCGAGGTAGCTTATTGGCGCGGAATTCGCGACCGTGAATGCCAAACAATTGTTGTCATAGACTTCAAAAAGCTAAATGCTTGTAATGAAAGTCACTTAGCGTGCACGGGCGAAAGCCTGGAGCCGTTCGAGCTACCAAGCTGTCTCGAATCTGTGAAATCATAACACTGACTTATACCGACGTCCTATCTCTCTCTTTTCTCCGTTATTACCAAGATTTGTGTCACGTAATTATAAAATGGGAAATCCACGACGGAAAAGTGACGAATCGAAAGTATCGTGACCGCGTATTATGATGTATGCATAGGCATACGTGGACTAGAGCGATAGAGAAAAGAGAAAGCGAAGAGCAAAGACGAGCGCTTAAAAAGGATAGGCAGGGTCAGACCCTCAGATGTGCGACGATTCTCGAATAGGTGTGTACTGATCTTTGTAATTATAAATTGTGAATACATGTGACTATTATTTTTTTTATTTTGTGCAAGTTATAAGTTATAAATAAATATAAACAAACAACACTAACTAGATAACATTAAGTCTAAATACCAAAACGATTAATTTACTGTGTTTTTGTTATTTATTACTCCTGTTTTTAAATATTCGGCCGAATACCGAATACAGTAGAGCCTCGAAAACTAGGCCTAATGTGGACCGAAGGGTGGCCGAGTTTGTGAAAATGCTGGGTTATCGGGAATGGGGTTAAAAAAGGATAAGTATGCGTGTTTCCTCAGAAAATATTGTACTGTACTTGTATGTATTGTTTGCTTGAGAATAAAACAGAGAATAAACTGCCCGAATACCCTTAAACAAAGGAAAAGTGCGTCCTTTATGAAGGCATAGAGCCTTTACTACATGAAAATGAAAATTAATGAATACACTGTGTGCAGTTATTTATCTGATAAGACAAACCTCAGAAAAATACTTTATGAGAGCTTTTATACTTTTATAAAGCTATCTATAATGAAAATTAATTAACTAAGGATTTTTTTTGCCCTGTCAAGGTGTGGCCGAGTTATCCGGAGTGCCGAGTTTTCGAGGCTCTACTGTAGTAACCGAATATTCGTTATATCACTAGTATCAACAATGTATTCGGATGTTCGCTAATGCGGAATCGAACATTTTTTTTAGAGATTAATAAAAATTAATGTTTGGTCTATGCAGTCAGTGTGAAATCGTCCTTAATCTGTCCGACGAACACTGTCAACCTACTGTTGTCATCATAGTAATGACTCAATCGGTCATTTGAAATCGCCCTTATTATAACAGCAGGTCGACCGACCAGTTAAAATTAGACAATTTTAAAAAGTTAAATATTTTCCGGTGAGCTACAGCCAACAAGCTTCAAGCTGTAGCCGATTTATCAATCTCTGCATAACGAGCAAAAAACCGCGTAAAATGTTGAGATTTGTTAAACGAAATAAGATACGTAATTTTCGATATTCATCAGGTTGATTACAAAAATAAAAAAAAAGGAAATTTAATGTCTGGCAAACAAACATTCGTTCTGGTTAGTAGTAATACTGTCAATTTTGCTTATAAAAATTATGCAAAATGTATTTGAGTAATAACGCACACTAATATATTTACAAATAATTTATGGAAAAAATAGTGACTATTATCGAAAATAAATTCTTAAAATGTAAATTAAACTTTCTGATATCTGTTTGTATATTCACTATCGTCGATTTACTGATCAGTCTGGTGACACCTAAATTTTCTTCAGAGATTCTGAAGAAACCATAGTAGTAATGTTTTTCGCAGTTTAAGTACAGCAGCCCCTTATTATTTGGTCCCCAATTTAAAAAGAACTAGTCAATAAATTTTAATATATCAATTGCCACTGAATTTCTTTTTGCAACAAAACAGTATTTTTATTTCTACCATTGTCCTTGAAACTGCCACTACAGGTGTAACGATAAATTCAAGATATAATTAAACAAAAAAGTGAACAGATCACTATTTCTTTTACTTGATATTATTGGTTTTAAGTACTTGTCTCTTCATTTACAAGTTCTATGAATTCGAAATTTCACTGCTTAATGTGTAAGGAAATCATTTCTGAATGGACTTAAAATTTTTATATAGTAGTAACTTTATTTTGCTTTTTATAAAATTAAGTAAAAATTCTCCAAGTTTTGATGTTCTATTATATGTTCAATGTATTTTTTTTTTTAATTTTCAATAAACAATTTATGAAATATAGTACTATATAAAAACAAAATATAAGTTGCGATTTTATCGACAGTAAGCCTTTAAATGTCATTGTTAAAGAAATACTAAATGGATGGTCATGGTATCGATGTTTACGTAATTAATTTGATATAATCACGAATAAAATTCTGTATTGCAAAACAGCTTATATCAAACACTTGCTGATGAAAGAATAGAGAATAGGTTATAAATGCTATGGAATCTGTTGGTATAAGCACGGGACTTTTCGTGCTGTTATATTGCGTTCTTTCTCTCCCCGACAAGCGCAATGAGGGGCTACTGCACTTCTCATTGGAGCTGGATGACAATGTCTAACGATAAATTTAAAGTAGCCAATGCCAGAATTCTTACTTTTCCAGAAATTATACAATCCTTTATCGTTCTTTCTGAAACTGTAGCTTTATATTGTGCTAATTCCACGTGGCCAGCCCGTCCGAGCGAGGCGCGAACCCACGACCGAACTCCCGTGTTCAGAGTACGAACACAGCGCGGCTTGAAACAAAATTGCCATTCTAGTATACAATTTGCGATTTTTGTACTTGCTTCCTTTTCTTTGTCATGCGAATGTAATCGGCCATTTTGGGTTCATGCCATTGACGTGCAAATTCGCTGTCTTGTAAAGAATAGCAGTTCGTTTATACGGTTTCGTCAGATGGCCCCAAAACGTATAACTGCAGTTTTACTGTACTCCATTAGTTATTAAAAACATTGTGTAAAAAAACGTTCTACACTACTGAAATACGCATATCTTTACAATCAGTACAAAAAAATTGTGCATTTCTTGTACTGTTAATTTTCTTGCTTTTCTTGCTCTAAAATGCGAATATAGACCAGGATCCATGGTTATGCATTTTACGCAAAGCGGCGTTCCTAGCCATAACCAACTAGCAACAGAGCAGTGTATTCAACGTGAATGCTTTTGCCATTACTGATAGGATTGATCTAGCCTGTAGTCGAACAGTGCAAAATTGCCCTTAACCGCCTAGACCAGTGTTTTTCAACGGTCCTCAAAATTTTTTTACTCAAATCACTTTCATAAGTTATTAAATTTCTATTGAAATTAATTCTTAAATAAAATCTTATAATCAATTTAAAGTAGTTTCAATTTTGACTTTTATTACTATTACTTTGGGTTTCATTCGAAAATATTTTAAGCCCTCAAAAATTTTCGCGGCATACTAGTTGAAAATCAGTGGCCTAGACCTGACCAGCGAACACACATTGGCTAGCCTAACACTGGTTACTCCTGTCGATATAACTTGAATTCAGACGTCTTAATACGCATTCCGTATAATCTCTTGCAATGAGATTCTAATGAAATTTGTTCTAGTAAATTTATTTGCACAACTACACTATAACATTGATTCTACATTAAAGTTTAGAAAACTCATTTAACCTTAATTAATTTAAAATTTAAACATTTACTACGGGTTTCCCCCTTCTGTCTCATTGCCTTCATTCACTATTCCAGGTAAATATATATAAAATAAATTTAACAATTATTGACAATTTGAAAATTTCAAACTTTTGGTCAGTTAATTTTCAATTGACTTCATTTTTAATTTTACAGTGTCAAAGCCAGCGCTTTAATTACCTTTAGGTTTAATTTATTGGGCTATTTGAAAAAATTGTAGACTTATAAACTCAATTGTCGTCAGGGCTTAATCTCGAGAATGGAGTTAGATGAAAGCAGAGATCAGATATGGAAACCTCGGACAGTTTATAATATACAGTAGTTAATCGCCCCCCATTAACTATATACGAACTTCCGGGCAAACCGGTTTGCACCGGAAGTCACATTATTTCGATTTAAAAATATTCCCCTGAAAGGAGTTAGATTACCTGCACTATTACTAACAAAAAATGATGTACTGTACAGTACAAAGGCAAAACACAAGATGGAGAGCATATATTTTAAATTGCAGCCAGCATTGTGACAATGTCACAATAATTGCTATTAGTGATTTTTATAATTTATTTAATTTTGAACCCTTAATTACAATTCTTTTAGACAAAATTACAGAGAATGTGTTTCTCACAAAATGTAATCAAATTTAATTATAAGCCAGTTAACATTGAACTATTGAGCTACCTAGCATTGTAATAATTTATCTTCTCTATCTCATGAATTTTCTGTTCATTTATTTCTTCAAATTTAGCATACGAAATGCCCTGAAATGAATAATTGGGTTTTGTTTGTAAAAGATTTTTAAACATTTAATACAGTTTATCTACTATAAATTATAAAATTTAATAAGTTTAAAAACTTCTGAAATGTTTACTTATTTTGAAGTGTGTAATATATTTTTAAGGATTTGCTGTAAAAAAATTACAGTAATATCTTGAATTTCCTGGGGTTAATGAACTTAAAAGTGGAGATTAAAAGTTATTAAAAAATGAAAATTAGTTTGAAATTTCAATGAAAAGAAAAAAAATATGTTAAAGAAACCATTTCATTTTCCAAATTATTTATTGTTCCCAAATCAGAAAATAATTGTATTATGAAGTATAGTAATGGCATAGTTTACAAGTAATGTTAACTTTTAAATTCTAATCTACAAATTAGATTTTGAGATGAGATTGACAACTTACTGATTTATTTTTTCATTCTGTTGATTAATATTGAAAATCAAGAAATTAGTATAAAAATTCATGGAACAAATATTTAAAAATACATTCAAAGCTGACCACAGTCAGCAATCACAATTTTTCTGTTTGTTTTTCCACTCTGACTTCCATATCCTTCAATCTTCTTAACTACATCCATACCTTCAACAACTTGACCAAATACTACATGTTTTCCATCAAGCCTGTTAAAAAAAAGTTTAAGATTAAATCATTTCATGAAAAAGACATTAATCAAGGTGTTTTGTATAAGTGTCTTTAGAATCTTGAAAGCATTTGTTTTGAAAATTCTGAAGTTGAAAATAGAGAATAGCACATTCATCTAAATTAGGATTTAAAAAATCTTCAGCTTTAATTCATTGATAAGGCAATTTAAATTTGAATAACTTGTTTATTGCAACACTATATGAAGGCTTGTTGACAGACAACATTGAAAAGCTGGGTGATTATGTCAAAAATTAATCTGTCTTTTCTGAAAGTTGATCAAAAATTCTACAACCAGTGCAAATAATTTTTGACTCGCCTTTGTGTACATGTGGTGTGTGTGTGGTAACCAACATAATAGAAAACTTAAGCCAAAAATAGTTAAATGCTAAATGATAAATATTCATTGAAATTTATTCTAACTCAAAGACAGCAAACTGACATTTTCAGCACAGAAAAATTTCAAACTAAGGCAGCAATGCTTTGTCAGTTTTGATTTTGAGTTATTTCTACACAACTATATAAATTTTTTTCCCTATTAAACAAACTATTCACATACAAAACAGTTTGTGTAAAATTAATTATGTAATTAGCTACATCATAAAATTTCATGATTTTACTTAAATTGATTTGTAAATTATTAAAATAAGAAAGTTTCATGTTGTAAAATCAAAACTTGAAGCAAAAATGCAGAATACACAAAATTTAAACAATAAATCACACTCAGAGGGAAAAATTACTTATTGCATGCTAGAAGCAATTTTGGTTCAGCAAAGACCCACTCTGTCATTACATTTCTTCCCATCCTTCCCTGAAACCTATAATGGGAGCAGCAGTTTTGGGTGGAAAGCAGATTGTTGTCAATGGTGTTTTTTTGAAAACATGACTATAGTGATATTTTGGCATACTTGTGAAATTCTGCTGACCACTGAAGAAGAAAATTTGCAGTGAGACACATAAATCACAGTTCATCAATCTGTCAAAATTATTTCCCCATACTGCATGTGGTCCATCAGTAAAGAATACGAATAAAAACATGAATTGTGAAAAGGGGGTTCAAACTTGCAATCCAGAATGTCCTGTACACACACACTAACCTGTCTTACATTGTTCTCAAAAATATTCGTGTTGACCTCATTGACCTGCTTGGGTGATCCCGAATATTTTCGTGTATATCGGAACATTTTTGATACTAGATGTCGCTATGTGTCACAATTTTTATATTATAACAAACTTTCAAAATATATATATATTTTTTGTTTCTATATTATTCAATATATTTATTTTGTTTGTGAAACACAAAAAAAGTATTTTTTTTTCGATACAGTAAACACTATTATTTTAAAAAAAGGAAGAAAAAAATTTTAGGCCTAACATCAAACGAAAATTCAACACAGTGTCACAGGCAACAAATAAAAATTAATATCGAATAGGTTAAGCCAACTGATAGTTTTGTCCCCCATGACAAACTGACTGCAAGAAATTAACCAGATGTCATGCAGGTCAAAAGAAATTGGGAGGGTTCTGTACAAGATACAATTGCAATCTAACACATGAATCCATCTTTGTGTTAATAGAGAATGAGATTTACAGTACACAAATGAAGCCTTGGTAGTTATCACAAGCTATCGTCTATTGGTTCAGGCAACAGTGCACTCAAACTTTCAAGTCAGAGTTGACATACTTAGTTTTGTTCTCTCTATACAATTAGGGACAAGCTTTCCCCCATATATTTCTGGAGCAATGACTTAATAGCCACACACACAACCTTTTATCAATGTTGTATTTGACAAAAAACCTAGCATTTTCGGTCTCCACCAAGGCCTTCTTCAGGTGCTGAATTAAGTGGCACCCCCTTGGACCATTAGAATGATGCTGTGAGTTATAAACATTGTACATACCACGTTTCACCCCTCTGCCTGTCTGTTTGAATTCCTCCATGCATACGCGATCGTCTTGCAGTCTTTAAAGTTGATACAGGTGCCCCCAACATTGGCTTTATAGATCTCCCAGGCCTCCAGGTGACAAATGATCAATTTGAAAATGCCTGTCTAATTTGGTGTTCCAGAAGTCTGCCCAAATTTCCGGGTCAGTAATGTACATCAAGGTGGTGGTGTGTGTGTTGTTTTTAAGATCAGATTGATGCTCCCATAACAAAAAACTGTTACAGGAGCATCAATGTTACAGGACAACAGCTTTCACTGAAACTGAACCAGTTTCAGTGAAAGCTGTGTCAAAAGTTGTAGATCTACTATACTGGTTGTGAAAATTTAAAACTAATGTTGCAGGTTTTTCTTTCTTCAAACAGTGCTTAGCAGTGAAACAGCTATTTTGAATCATCAATGACAAAACTTAGTACTATACAAGAAAGTGCTTTGCTATAAATTAACATTAATTCTAAGTCTTGATTACTACTTTAAAAACATAATTTGTTCTTTTGAATTCAATTACTCGACTATCAACATTCAGCTGCATGAAGAGAATGGAAGTGCTGTCTATATAAAAAATTGAGCCAATACACCTCCATAAACTTATACTCAATGTCCCTAACCCACCTTTTCCCCTTATAAAAGAAAGGCTTGGAAATAGTCTTAGAAAAAACTTTTCTTTGAACTTCACACTGTCCTTACTGTACAAGTATATCTCACCTTACGTCAGAAATTGGTTCAAGAGAGGAGACGTAAGTCGAAAACAATGTAAGTCGAATTTACTTGTCACTAAGCTAAACCATAAATTACCATTCCCAGTTCTATATTTTATTTATTAATGCATTTTTAATAATATATGGTTAATAAGGATCTATTTTAAGCTTATAAACAAATAAATTTTAGTTTTTAATATAGTACAGAAAAAAGTAATCTAAATTTACGAATGCATGCACTGTAAATAAAGTACATACTTGTAAATGTATATATTTTAATGATTTTATGTGCTTTAAATGCTTTTCTAGTGATGTTACGACTTCAATATTTGTGGCGGACAGATGTAAAGTCAAACAAAATGACTTAAACTTTATTTTTATTTTTCCGTATACCTTTTTGACAAACAACGTATAATCGGGAACAACGTAACTCGAGGTATACCTGTACATTGTTCTCCTTATCTGGAAACCAGAAAATGCAGTTTCTTACCCGTTTTAAATGAATGAAAGGAGCCATGAGTAAACCTGTGCCACTGGACAGGCTTCAGCTACATCTAGGTTTACTCACTGCCACGGGGACAGTAGAACCCAATTTGGAAACCACTGCTCTAATAGGCCAGGGAGAGTTCTACTTAAGTGTTAACCTTTCAACAGCAGACTAGTCGGGTATGGTTCTACCCCAGTAGTGGAGAATAAACGTGGAAAATTTTTAAAGTATTTTTCAACACGTTTTTCTCACTACTCTTTCGGAATAAGATTTGGTGAACAGTTATGCCCAGTAAAGAAAAGTCTTTTTTTTATTGTTAGATATTTCATTTTTTATGTGATTTTTTTTCGTGGTAGTTTTATGCTAGTTTTTTGGCGTTACCCCTTAAAAGAATTTGACGACTATAGTTGTCCCTCACCACTGCCACATGATCGCCATTGACGACTATAGTCATTACTCACTGCTGAATGGTTAAAAAGTTATGGCAATTAGGCTAAAAATAAAGATTTTGTGCATTATTATGGGTCACCAGTAAATCAAACTATGATAGAAATATTTGAGTCTTATTATGTAAACCTCTTAATAATTGTGACAATGTTTTCCCAAACGGTTGATCACTGAATTCCTAAGTGTTTAGTAAAATTATTCTTAAGATATTTTGCACCTAGACTCAAATACACTAATTTTTTATTGCCAAAAACACTGATTTTTTAGAATTTTTACATAGAATCTGACTAATTGGTTTTCAAAATTATTTTATCAAAAATCCATTTTATTATTATGTCAACCAGTCAGAAATCCATCAGCAAAACAAAGAAAGACAAGCATTTGGAAAAAAGCAGTTACAGTATTTAGATGATGTGCAATCTAGAAGACACTACACATCACCCACTGTCACACAAGAGGTTTATGTTTAGTTGAATGTGGTTCCTGTGCTTTATAGAAAAGTTCTGATTAGTCTATTCAACAGAAGAAACATTTTTCCCATTTAAGCAAAATAATTTCAAAGTTTGAAAATAATGTTAATTTGAATGGGGCTATGACACTAGTTTTACTTAACATGTAAATCCCTATGCTGGATGATCAGGAAAAGAAAATAATAGTAAACACAACTGAGTTATCCCAGTTCCACTGAATTACATATAATTAAATACATACCAACTGGTTTTTACTGTAGTGAGGAAAAACTGAGATCCATTAGTATTTGGACCAGCATTTGCCATTGACAAGATACCTGTATATATGAACAAAAATGATTTTAGCAGTCTAAATAATTTTTATCACTTCAGTTTTAGCATTACTTACCTGGTCCAGTGTGTTTAAGAGCAAAATTTTCATCTTCAAACTTTTCTCCATAGATTGATTTTCCACCAGTACCATTATGGCGAGTGAAGTCACCACCCTGACACATGAAGTTTGGAATTACACGATGGAATGTGCTGTTTTTGTATCCAAAGCCTTTCTCTCCTGTACATAGAGCTCTGAAATTCTCTGAAAAAATTTTAATATTTCAAATGCATTAAAATCTAATTAGCTATAAATTTCAAACTAGTAAATGAGTAAGTAACAGCAATGTAATCAAACTACAGTAGAGCGTCGTTTATCCAAATCAATTGGGGACCGAGGTTGTTCGGATAACCAATTATGTATGACAAAATATATTAACCTATCTCATGTTGAAATTTTTCTCCGTTGCACCTCGCTTCGAATTTTTGTCGATGTTAAGCCTAACGCAAACTTTTTAAAATAATAATCGTGACTATTGTATCGTTAAAAATTATTTCTTTATTTTTTACAAACAAAATAAATACATTGAGAAATATTTTTATATTTTTCAATGTATTTATTTTGTTTGTAAAAAATAAAGAAATAATTTTTAATGATACAATAGTCACAAAATATACTTCAGATGTTGATCTAGTATCAAAAATGTGATTCAGCACGACACACAATCATCAGAAAAACACCACACAAAAGTGCCAGTGCTGCCAGCTAAAACACACACCAACAAAAAAAAATATTGGAGTAGCCCAAGATATAGCCAAAGATTGCAGCACCACAGCAGTCGAAAATTTAAATTTGCCGACTGGAATGCTTTCTGTTAACCGATGTTTCAGATAAACGACACTCTACTGTACTTATTAAATTTTAAACTTAAAAGCTTTAAAATTAATGAATAGAAATTATTTAAAATCTCAAACTAACATTATTAGAAACAGCAAAATTTAAAATCTCATTACAGCCTGTCTAGAAAAAAATCAACTTTGGTATTAACCAATGAGCATCAGCCATTGACCACATAGCTGTGGCAAGTTTCCAGTTCCTTCCTCAATTCCATTCTAAACAGGTCACTTCCATCAAAAACAGTGTTATGAAGCTTCACATTGTGGTATTAGAATATGAGAAAATTTACTTTAGTTGTTAAATGTATGATTCTTTACAATTAATGCAGGCTTTAAAAAATTAACATAAGAGGTCATTCTGCAATCTAGTGAGAAAAAACTCATATAACATGACAATTAAGTGAAAAGTGCTGACATCAGTTAAACCAACCAGCACATTCCCTAATGAAGCAACATCAATAATAAACTTGAGAGCAATGTCACATATTTCCAGAAAGAAACTGTAGTTTTTAAAATGAAAAAGATTGAATTTGCACTGAAGATTATTTTGTGAGCTGAATATTGAATTCTCATCACTAAATACTGTTTACAATTGTATAAGATAGCTGTCATCAGGAATTTACATCTACAGTATACATTGTTTCAGACAGAACTGGCTATTTATGGATTTACCAGTAAATGATTGCTTTACAACTAAAAGTTTCTTAGACAAGCTGTCCACTCTAATAAATTTAGTTATCCTGATATCTTAAATGATTTATTTAATATTTCTTCAATAAGATATCTTAACTTAGCAATACAACATTACCATTTAAATGAAAGTCACATTAAATTGTATTTTATACAAGTACTGTACAACTCCATATCAAATTATTGAAATACTTGAAAACCTGCATGACTAACTTATTCCTCATTAATTTGTAATTGTAAAATAAACAATAATATAATAGCTATTGTTTGTGTGTGTAAATTCCTTATAACTCCAAAATTTCATCTGGATTGAACAAAAATTGCAGATCATATTTGTTTTATGTTCTGATGGAAAGTATAGGCTACTTATTTTGTGGAAATATCTATAAAATAAGCATTTCATTGAATTTGGATTGATGATGGCATTTACATTGCAGTGATATCAATGATCATGTGATGTCCATGATGTTCAACGAGGATATTTCCCTTTACATGGAATTTTAAGTTGATTTTCACATTTTGGCAAATGGCATATTTTAAACTTTAAGGAAACCTTTTAAAAGACAATAGTGTTTACTCAGAATATAGAGTATTAAAAAATTTTATAAAAAGATTTTACTATTTCTTTTAGTATAAAGGCCACCTGTGTGAATATAAGTGAATTCTCTTACTCCTACTATTTTTGTCCACAAGGTAAAATTTTGTTTTGTTGTTCTTTATGTTCCAGCCCAGTTCTTTATGGTTTCGTCCCCAAACACCGGTAGTATGGTCATGGGTCACATCACCTCACCAGGACAGGCTGGCCACGTGGCATTTTCCAAGTTTTTTTTTTCAAATCATTAATGCCTAAATAGAGGCCAATTACCCTAAAAGATCTCTTGGAAGGCATCACCACTAGGCAGATTGCCCCCATACATAACTAAACAACTCTACATTACAATAGATAGTATAAACTACTCAATTTGTTGAAATAGCAGCAAATTTTCTTGAATATCTACTCTTGTCAATTCTTCAATCTCTACCTTTTCATAAGTAGTATTCAGTCATGATTGATGGGGGGAACTTTTAATTATATATACTGTAAATACAAAATTTTCCAATGGTACTAAGTTTTCACAAACAGCATAATTTATCTGTCCTGTAGGTCAAAATATTGGAACACTTTAATTCAAGTATCAAAATAATGAAAACAGAAAATGGCAAATACAGTAGAGCATTGATTATCCGACCAACGATTAACCATCACATTAGTTAGCTGACCGTTCTAGTCAGCAAATTTCAAATGTCCGCTAGTGATGTGGCACTACAATATTTGGCTGTGTCTTGGCTACTTTAATATAATTTTTGTTAAATTTTTGCATGTTTTAGCTGGCATCAACGGCTAGACCATTAGAGGGAGGCCAATATTTAAACGAGACTTAATTTTCTAATTATGAGTGATCGTTTGTTTCATGAGCAATAAAACAATTTAAAAATAATTTTTAACGATACAATAGCAACGATTATTATTTTAAAAAAATTTGTTAGGCTAAACATTGATGAAAATTCAACGTAAAGTTTGTTAATAGTGATATACTAAAATTAATTACATGGGATATACTAATATCCTAATATACTCTACTAATAATGTATTTTTTCCCTTCTTTTCAGTTATTAGATTTTTTCAGTTATCCGACCAACCTGAGTCCCCAATTGAGTCGGATAATTGATGCTCTACTGTATAACCATTAAACACATAAGATTGGACAAAGCTATAAGCAACGTAATCATGATTATTTACAAAATGATAAATCAGCAAACTACTAAGTGGTAGTTCAGAGAGGGATAGATGAAATGTTCATTGGTTTTTTTTAGAACTACATCACAAGTGGCAAGCAGCATAAAGAAGTGGTCAGAAGTGATTTTCAGTGATGAGTCAAGATTTTATTCCTACAAAAACTAGGGTGAAATGATGTTAAGAACAAAACATGAAGCATTTCAGTTACCATGAAAAGCTTAAAGTTTCCATACAGCATCATGATCTGGAGCTGCAATAGTAGCAAAGACATTACAATCTCAGCACTGCCAATTGTCCAAATTCAATAGACCAGGAAATTCTGGATTGTGTTACCTTCAAATGGAAAACATTTGGTGGTGCATATTGCATTTTCCAGCACGACAGTGCTTGTTCTATGAATCATCTAGGAAATGGTTTAATGAACATGTTCAAGTATTAGCAAATTTTCCAATTCAGATCTTAATCCAACAGAAAACTTGGGAAATTAAGAAAAGATTGACAAAACAAAAGGCAACTACAAGAAATGAATTAAACAAATTAAGACATCTGGCATTCAATTCAACAAGACTAAAATTATTGTGTAACATGCCTTCCAGATTGCAGGATATAATCAAGATATATTGAGTACCAACAAAGTACTAAATGAAGTTAAAATATTCATTTATTTATAATTAAAAGTGACAATTTTTTGCTATTTTCTACATTATTCCAATATGTTAGCAAAAGAAGATTCCAAATTTTGTCACATTATGTAATAATGTTTCACTTCAAATTTTGATTAAATCAAATGTTTCATACCATTTTAGAGCTTTATTCACATCTTAGTGCATGTTGCAAAAAAATCTAAACACCAGGGCTGTGGAGTCAGTCACGGAGTTTTGCTGTTTTAATTGGAGTTGGAGTCAAAAAACCCGCAGACTCCTTTTTACCTCCCAACTTGTTATATATATAAATGGAAAAGTATTGGAATTGTGTCAAATTTGATCCTCTAAGTTTTTTTTTTGAAAATCTAGTACTNCTTGTGAATTGTTTTTAAGGATTGCTGATGGTGTAGAAACGGCGGAAAGATAGACAGAAGCGAGGTTTTTTACCTTTGTGAATATGTCGTTTTGTATTTATACAATTTTTTAAAAATGTAATTTACGCCGGCCATAGTTTATTTTACTATTTTTACTTAAAATGTGATATTGTGAAAAATGGCTAATAAACACCAGAGGACGCTTTACCTATATTTACATTTTTTGCCGAAACAGTAGCCTAAAAAGGAAGGTCGTCTCGGAAACTTGTGAATTGTTTTTAAGGATTGCTGATGGTGTAGAAACGGCGGAAAGATAGACAGAAGCGAGGTTTTTTACCTTTGTGAATATGTCGTTTTGTATTTATACAATTTTTTAAAAATGTAATTTACGCCGGCCATAGTTTATTTTACTATTTTTACTTAAAATGTGATATTGTGAAAAATGGCTAATAAACACCAGAGGACGCTTTACCTATATTTACATTTTTTGCCGAAACAGTAGCCTAAAAAGGAAGGTCGTCTCGGAAACTTGTGAATTGTTTTTAAGGATTGCTGATGGTGTAGAAACGGCGGAAAGATAGACAGAAGCGAGGTTTTTTACCTTTGTGAATATGTCGTTTTGTATTTATACAATTTTTTAAAAATGTAATTTACGCCGGCCATAGTTTATTTTACTATTTTTACTTAAAATGTGATATTGTGAAAAATGGCTAATAAACACCAGAGGACGCTTTACCTATATTTACATTTTTTGCCGAAACAGTAGCCTAAAAAGGAAGGTCGTCTCGGAAACTTGTGAATTGTTTTTAAGGATTGCTGATGGTGTAGAAACGGCGGAAAGATAGACAGAAGCGAGGTTTTTTACCTTTGTGAATATGTCGTT